AGCAACTCTCTTTGTCTTTTTGCAGTTCGAATCGGTTATCTGGGACGGGGCCACTTTCATTCCCTCTCTGTTTGATTCTCGCTTTTTTGTGTTGCTCATAGCAACTATTGTAATGAAATTCGTTGTCGTCGTTGAGGTAGGTAAGAGTTGGGCGGAGCCGAACATCGAGATGGTGTTTTTCGTTCAGATGTTTAACTAGATATGTAAATGTTTTGTATTATCGTAGCCATCGGTGGTGTTTTTCTAATGGTCGGTACTTTCTTCTCAACTTTTCCTCATTTTAATTCGCCAATATTTACTGGGGTATTTCAATCTTTGTGTTAAGGGCTAATGTCTCAAATTCCCATGCTTGGAATTAGAACAAGTGAAATATAAGTAAATTTGACATTTTCTTGCTTTATTTCAGGGCTTGATAGCTTTATTAGTTATCGCTGTTTATCCTTGAACTCACTTTCCTAGGCTGTGTGTTAAGTCCAGCAACACTGCATAGGTTTCGTTTTTACCCCATTATTTGTTTAAAATTTTATTAAAACTTCTGTAATTTTAAGTTGTCATGAAAAATGAGACGCAAGCTTGATCACTCTGCACTCTATGGTCTATAAAGTATCGATTTTGTTAAGGGTTTTTATCTGAAAGTCCACTATGGTGTCTTCTTAGACCCAAACAAGGAGCCATTAACAGTTTGGCCGGGCATCATTGTTGGCAACCTGGTGGCTAAACTGGTCACATTTAAAAACTCTAAATTGGGTTTCTATTTTGAGGGGAGTTTATACGGCAGGCCCGAAACTCAGTGTTCATTTTGAACGAATAGAAAACTTTCCTGATGGGGAATTGGCTTCCCACTACGACGGTTCTTTGAATCCACGACTTCTAGCTAAATGTAAAACCACTGATACGGTAATATGGTCTCAATTCTGCCGTCTATTCAACTTTTGCTGAAGAAAAATTATCATTCCTTAATTTCCTATTTTGGATATTCCTGTCTTATCAAGATTTCTTTGTTGAGATTCCTTTGTTCAAAAGAGTAATGAAAACGAGTCCACACTTCATCTTCTGCCTCCTGAAAGCGGGAAATTGGGACAGAGTGTGAGGTAGGAGGCTGGTCATTAAATTTCATCCCAGTTAAAGCACCAAATTGACTGACTAAATGAATGTGAAAGAATGACTCATTTACTAATATACACCCGCATACATTTTTATAGGAATAGAGTCATATGCACATACATACATACATTCGACTAATTGAAATGCACATATTTAACCGATGATTTATTTTATTTATATCAAATGGCAGGCGTCTTGATGGTTATCATTAGCCCTTTAGTTGACTTCAGGCTTCACAGAGGGGAAGGAACATCAAATTGAAAAAGTCGATAGGGGGGGGGGGGACAGAAGAGTATTTCAAAGATGTAAGAGACAGACACAAAGGTAGAACAAAGGTGAGGTGAATACTATGGAAGTAGTCGAATATGGCATCGAGTGAGGTGATGGTAGTTTGAAGTGAGAAGTCAACTGCCGAATAATAGACTGTTTTGCCGTATGAATATACGTTGCCCAATGTGCACCACGTGGAGGTAAGTCTATCGCACACCCCTATTTAACCGATGATTCACTGGACAAAAGAAAAGAAATTTTTGTGCTGTTTAAAGGGAGTCGGGATCCAAGTCTCTTCTTCCACATTCAGAAGTCCCAGTGCTCCGTCTTTTCCCATGCTGCGAAGTTTTGTTACTTCTACGCGGGGAGACTGAGGAGGGCCTGGTGATTTATGGTAGTTGCATAAATTGTGATAACCTTTTGCGAGGTGACTATCCATTCCAGTTAAAAATCCTCACAACACATCGAAATACTCGTATACCTTCTTCCGGATTTCCCATAGTTGTTAGATTGCTGATGAGCCTTAGGCCATTCTTGATCCATAGGAAAGGAAATATTTCTAACACAGATTGGATTTCTTCTATTAAAACATCAATGAGTGTGACGAAAAGAATCGATTCCATGGCCTCTTATGCGACAGATGTGCGTGCAAGTTTGAGTAGCCAGAGGCCACGATATTGAAACCTTTCGTCAGTATATGGTGATTGAATGGCCCCTTGCCCACTAGCAATTCAGTAGAGCAATAGAATTATAGCACTTTTGGGCTATTCAATGATACTGAAGGCTCGTGTTCCATCTTTCCTTACGCATCGTGTGTATCAGTTGGTTAGGGCGAGACCAATGATCGCGATTTGATGTATAGCAATTGTTTCGACTGATATGATTTCTCTCATTCCTTTTGCGAGATTTAATAAAAAAAACGGTCGCTGGAATAATGCTAGTTATTGAATTGAGTTTTCTATTCCAGGTGGACCAGAAGGTATGAAGCTGCCCTCAACCGGAAGTATATTCCTTGCAACCGGTGGAACAACTAGTTCCAGTAGTCAAAACTCATCTCTTCACAAGAGTCCAACTGTTCCAGGAGGTGTGCTGGAGACCTCTGGAATGGAAACTGTGAATGAGAACCACGGCCCTACCATTGATTCTAATCTGGGTGGTGGTGATGAGGAAACCCTACATGAAGATGATCCAAATTCCGTATCTCCCTACGCTAGCACCTCTCTCATTGAACAATTGCGACGTGGAGGTGAGAGAGAAAGAGGAGGAGGAGCGAATTTGAGCTTCTCTGAGGTCATCCCACCACCTCCACATTATCCTCCGCCTCCCGTTCCTACGGATTCTCCTCCAACACAGCGTAACATCTACTCCCCATCGGAGTGTTGCCACTATGCTCAAAGTGATCTTCATCAACAGAAACTCATGACTGATGAGGTGAATGGGGGTCAAATGTTTATGGGGGCTCCGCAGACAGCTTATCTTCCTGCATCTGCTGCTTACCCCGCGCCTGGACAAGAACAATATTGGCCTCCCAATGGAATGTGTTATGTTCAACAGCAATCTGTGGTGAATCCATCTATTTCTGGTCAAAGTACGTCATTCTTAATATTCATTATGTCTGTGTCTCAGATACATTGTCTCAGCATTTGAAATTCGAGAAATGGGAAATTCACAACTTTTTATACGAATTAATGTGAAACTAGTGATATTCGTTGCCTTCGTAAACGGTTATAGGGATCTATATTTTTGAGATAATTGAAGCTAATCAGTATGTTGAAAAGAACCCTTCAACGTTGTTGTCTCCTGTTGCTTATCTTCTATCTTTGTCACAAACGCTAATTTGAATTAATCATATGGTTGGATTTGTGCTGGTAAAGGTTTCTCTAGGTTATTCCTAAGATGAGCTTGAAAATCATTGTGAACACCGTCGATCTTATTGTTTTGAAGCTCAATTGGGATATGTTTTAATTCGAATAACAAATCGTCAAGTTTAAAGCAATTATTTTTTTACGTATCCCTGTTGTGAATGGCCTAGTTTTCAGTATCACTTCAGTCAACTTACTTGCCTGTCCTTGTATTGGTGCGGTTTTTTTCCCCTACATAAAACCCGATCAAAAACCGCAGTGCATTTTCGCAACTAATTGACCCAGAATTTAGACTCTCCTATCCCCCCTATAATCGTCAAGCTCTGCTCATTTTGGTACGCATGAAAATGCCTTTTACTTCCCTGTGTTTTTGGAAAGTTTGTGACCCTTGAAATAATTCTTTACGACGAATTACTGCTCCAGGTATCTCGTTAATGGGCTATGGATTATGCTAATCATATAGCTAGCATGAAATTAATGAAAAGGCATTGTGTTGAAATGCCCGATTATGAGGTTTCGAATTAGTTGAGTTACAGCGTACTGGTGGAAAGGTATGGTTCAAGCAAGGTACCCCTATCGCCTGACTTGAGTAGATTGAGGGCTCTGATGGAAAACTCATTCTGTCAGGCACGGCGCTAACCACAATTAATCATTTGATGAAAATTTCCTACCTGGTGTAAACTTACATAGAAGAGCATTTTCAACACCTATCTTGGGTAAGAGAGTAGGACTTAGATATCCCTGCTAAGGGAAACATCTCTCTTTATCAGTTCGTACTATTTGGTGTGTGTGAAGATCGAGCCTGCGATTTCTAACAAAACGGACATTTACGTTGACCATTTGGGTTCTCTTGTATTTTCCCAACTTTCAGTTCTATTAATACGATGCCTAACTTATTGATTTTCTACATAGTTGTTGTTGTCTAGTAGTGGAACTTGACGAGTCCCTTATATCCACGAAGTTACAACATTGAATCCCCACACTTCGCGTCTTAGCTTTCGTTTATTGTCTCCTTTCATCTACTGTTTAGCTCGCATGCAAGCAGTTCGGTTCTGGCCTATTGCGCGTTTCATGAACTTTTGGTATCAAAGATTAATCACCCTCCCCTAGGCTGTGGGGCCGTCCAGTACAAAGACGGACTTGTGTGCAAAGAGAGGCATCAAAATTTACTCCCCTTTGATGCGCTGGTGATGTGAATTTCCTAGTTATTTTCTAGTGTGTGATAATGTGCTGTGTCCTGGCTGAAAATAGGCACTCCTTAATTTATGTGGGGGAGTTGTTGCTGTTCTCGTCATCCTAGTTTGGTTAAATCCCCACAGTTTATACAATAATTTCGGCTCTTGTTTTGATGGTAACATTTGAAGATGGCGGAAACTAATAATCTAATATTGGCAAATTGATGAAGTGGTTAATGACTTGAGGAAGGAGTTAATTGAGTGGTACCTCACAGGTATGTGAAAAATCAATAATTGGAGGGAATAAATCGAATATCGAATCACAATAACTGATAATTTAATTAAGGAATTAATTAACTTCATCTTTTCAACACCCATTTTATGCAGAGGACGGGTATACTGGAGGTTCTCTGGCATCATTGTTGTCATTTGTCGCTTTTGATTAGTTTTAACTATGGTTATCGCGGCCTTGACTCCTAAATTGTAGTTTTTGTCATTGTCGTGCTTGAGTGCGGTAAGTGTTGCAATTTTTTAATAGACTTCTTTGGTATTCAAGAGTACATTTAAGGAAGAGAGCTTCTAGTGGCGGAACGCTCCCTTGTATTCGAATATTTTGTGAGGTAATGACTAAGCTTTAATTCTTTGCCGTATTTTGTTCAGGCCGTCTAGCTCACTCCCTTTACTGTATTGTAAGAGGTGTCCCTATCCTGCCTCCTCCTTCTCTGCATTTTGCCAGTGGTGAATCTCGTAGAGTTGAAAACACCAAAGCTTAAGTGTGGCTTCTCAATCAAACATTCGCGTTATCATTCTCAAAGAGGGAATAAGTTGAGGAGAGAAAGGGAGGACATTTTATTAGGACATTTTTGAGCGCTCTCGTATTGCTGCTATACGTACCTGTCTCATCATACCATTAGGCTAGACTCGCAAAGTCCTGAGAGCGTGTAGATGATTGCTAGCCATAAACACTCGGCGAAGTCAATAGAATTCTTTGGCTTCTACTACGTGCTGTTGTCAGTGATTAACTTTGAAGTCCAGGCCAATGTATGTACGTGTGCGTGTGTGTGTGTGTGTGTGTGTGTGTGTACGAAATACAGTGTCAAATTTCTCCATTTATAACCAAAACAACTTCAAGG